GGAAAAAACACACTGCTCAGTTTAAATATGTAGTAAAATCTGTGCCGTTAAGCGTTATCACCGTACCGCCATGATGTTATGCAAAACAGTTTGTTTTACGTGGATATTGGAACGTGAGTGAAGTAGGCTACATAATAAATAATATTTTGGCATTCAAATACATTGTGAATACGGAAACATTTGATTTTGTGTCAAATGAGAGAGACAGCGTTGGTTTCAGTTTCGTTTTAGACTAAATGAATTCGTTTTGGCTTGTCGTTTTTTATTGCTATAGCTTCTTATATTTTTAATTCTTGTTCTTTTGTAAATACTGTTAATTGAAAGGATTTGTTGTGGAGTGAGGGGAACTAAAATAGCCTAGCTATGTTTACAGTGTTTATTATAATGTTTGTAAACATTTTTCGTGTCAGCATTAGGCCTATTTCTGAATGAAATAATAAAATGCGACTTATGTTTTTTTGGAGAATATAGGAACTAAATGCTTCAGTGCTAAATGGGTTATTTTCTTTGTTTTTGGTAATTCTTGTGTTTGGAATTAGGGCTGCACGATAAATCGAAATGGAATCGAGATCGCGATTCGACAGAAGCTGCGATTGTCATGCGTATCTTTCAGTGAAGCACGGTTCTGTGATCAGCAGTAAATCTCCATCCGAAGGCCAGAGGGCGCTCTCGCGCTGAAACTCCAAATACGCCTTGCAGAAGAAACCCAGGAAATGCCTATCGTTGCAGCTGAATAAACAGAAGATTCAACTGCTTTCATTGATTCAACGTGACTAATAAACACACGACTACGGCAATATACGGTTTATCTGAGTTCTTATTATTATAATTTTCATTAAAATAAAGTATATTTATAATGCTATGCCTTTATCACTGCTTAAATACTATGAAATATGTTGCGTGCCTTATTCTGTGTAAGAAGCCACGTCATCTCAGAGAAGGATTTATTTCAAACACTCGACTGACGTTATGAAGTGAGTTTGGAGTAAAAATGTGTTATTAAATGTGGTATTTTCACATGCTTTCAGATGGAGCAGCATTTACTTCACAGAGCAGCTATGCAAACAGCTGTCATTATCGCGAACGATTTCTTCGATTTCATAATCGCGCAATAAAATCGTCTGCGATTTTTTTGCGTAACTTGTCAGTGAACTACGGCTATGTGTAGTAAATTCTGCTCCATCTGAAAGCACGTGATGATGATTTCCTGCTGATTACAGAACCGGCAGTACTATCAAAATGCGCATGACAATCGTATTCGATTCATCATGCAGCCCTAGGCATTAGGCCTATTTCTGAATGAAATAATAAAATGCGACTTAGGCCTGTTAGACTTATGTTGTTTTTTCATCTTAAAAAAGCAATTTTGTATACGCGTAGTGTATTTCAACCATGCAGCAAACCTTTTTAAATATTTTGATAAATTACTAAAAAAATAAATAAATAAATGACTTTTTAAACCATTTAACTGATTGTATTAATCAGTCAAAATTCTTAATGGTCTGTTAACGGTTAACTGGTTAAAATGAACATCCCTATTTCAGACTGATAAAACCTGGAAATTATCATGATTAGGAATGAAAACAAATATTGACCTGGTTTCTGTACAGACAAGGGTGTGTGCGTGACCTTTACGACTGTGTTTTTATCTCTGTACTGTGAGTCACATGACTGCTCATGGAGTGTCAGGTGACCACATCACACCTGTGGCTTCCTGTTGCGCTCAGGTGGAAGTTGTGAACTATGTCAGCATGGAAACAGTGGTTTAAGTGATCAGATGAGTGAGAGTTTGGATTTACATTAATTTCTCTTCTAATCCAGTTCTTCTTTTATTTTAATTTTAATGTTTCTTTTTTAAAATCGACATGTAATCAAAATTGACTACTTAGGCCTACTTTTTATGCACTCTCATGTTATTATTCTCAATGTTGTTCCAAATAGTAGGCTAGATTTTTTTTTCTTGGCAATCTAAAAGATGCTACATCTCTGAAAGACATTCTTTTATTGATGATGTCATCAAGGCCACTTAAGTTTCGACCAGTGACAGATGTGTTTCATTAAGCAAGTAGCCCTTAACATTTGACTGTGAAATTCAATTCCTGATGGATAAAATAAAGTCCCACCTTCCATTTTGTTCGACATCCTGTCACTTTGCGGAAATAATATGGATTATGAATGTCATTTCATGCTGACTTAAATTGCATCTCTCTCCTTCTCCTTCTTTCTATAGTTCAGAGCCTTAAAATACTCACCGGAAACTCCTTGCAGTCCCAAGAGAAAGATCACCTTACACACTCACACACAAACACACACCTTAACCATATTTGCACTATTAAACTCTTGATTTAAAGGGGTCATATGATGCGATTTAAATTTTTCCTTTCTCTTTGGAGTGTTACAAGCTCTTGGTGCATAAAGAAGATCTGTAAAGTTGCAAAGACTAAAGTCTCAAATCCAAAGAGATATTCTTTATAAAAGTTAAGTCAACCATGCCTACCTAAAATGGCTCGTTCTAACTAGGCTTGCCGCGATAGACGGTGTTGACGGTGATACCGACCAAATACACAAAATAATGTTCTTTTTAGCAACATCATATGACCCCTTTAATCTCTTATAAACTTCTAAACGCATAAAAAAGAGACTAATGGAGCATTTTCTTGCTTTTCTCTTTCTGTCTGGCACTAGTGCATTCTCTTTCTTTGATTGACAGGATCTTGGCTCAGTTGGGTGGAGCTTCATTCTGGACACTTGAGGGGCCCCACAGCTGCAGAGGCTCATGGGAAGGGGTCTGATTGGCTGCCTGTCAGGAACCCTTCCGTGGCCTTTGTGTTCTGAACTAGTATAACCCAAGTTTTAAACCAGCCTCACATTTAGTGGCCAAATCCAGGCTTCTCAAACTGATACAGAAATCATTTACTCACCCTTTTGTCACTTTAAACCAGAGTATTAATTTCCTGAGGGTTGAGGGTTTGAGGGTCCAGTCAAAAATCCTTTGACATGTTTCCAGAGGTTAATCTATGAGTGTGTGTCCTCCGCTATAACTTTCACACTGTTTTTATATTCTCATGTTCGTCCACATCAGCAGAGTTTTCTCGTTTTATAGTCTTCGTATCTCTTTCTAGCTCTGTTCTGTTTCTGTGGGGGCTTGTGTGTATTGTGTGAGAGTGTCAGACAGTCTTTGGCTGCTCATTTGGGTATCATTTCATAAAGCGGCTCCCACCCATAATGCAGCTGTGTGTGTGGTTGGAGTTCTGCTTAGCATTACTGCTTAAATATGTTGGTCAGTCTTTGTGCAGTTAGGGATGTAATGGTACACGTATTCACAACAAACATTTTCCGTATGGGTCTTTCGGTTCGGCATGCATGTCCATGAATATGTCGGAAAAATAAAGGAGGACAGAGATAAGCTGCTGTGGGAATATTACATGATTTAAGTTGTCCTGAACATAGGGCTGGACGATATGGCCAAAATTGATATCACGATATATTTCTTAATTTCGGTCGATACAATATAATTCCGATATCGATATGAACACTATTTATCTGAAATAGAAATCTTTTGTAACATTATAAATGCCTTTATCATCACTTTTGATAAATTTTAAGCATCCTTGCTAAATAAAAGTATTAATTTCTATAATTTGATGTGCTTTATATTAAGGGCTTCAGAGTAACTCATAAGCATAGGGTTTAAAGCGGCTTGCTCTCCTGTCAGATGCGTTTGCTGCTTAATCCATTTGAGACATGTTTTTTTAGTGCATAACTTGCATCTTACAGTTGTATCTTTATCTGTAAATGTTAGAAAGTCATGCTACTATTTCCATTTTGCATAAAGGATCATCCTGATAGTAAGTGAAGGACCACACGCATACACTAATAACAGATGGAGTGCAATAATTCTGAGTAAAATATACATTTTGCCTAAATATTTTGCATCCAAAAGTGGAAGCACTTGAAATCTCTTTACTAATACAACAGCACCATAAACTGTAGTATGAAGCGTGTTGCAGCAGCATTGGCAGAATTGTTTTTAAATCTAAAGACTTAAATTACTGTTTAATAAAAAAAAAAAAGGAAAAAATAAGCAATTAAAATTTTTTCCCATTGATGTACCAAACATACCAAACTAAGCCTCAAAAAAGAAGCCTCTAAGCCTCCATCATTTTTGTGTACCATTACACCCCTTGTTAGAACATACTATGTTGTTCTTAATTGCTTTGAGCAGTTTAGGTTGTTATTACTATGTGTTTCTAAAGTGTTT